CCGCCCGGGGCCCGCGGCGGGGCCGGCCCGGCCCGGGCCGCGCACGAACGCGCCGTGTGGGCGCGGGTGCCGTTGGAGCCGTCGGGCCGTGTTTACGTGCCCTGGGAAACGCTTCCCTCGCGCTCCGTGCGCGGCGTTGAACGCAGCGCCGCGGCGGGCGGGACGGGTCCCGGGGGGGCGGCCCCGGTCGCAGCGGGAGGCCCCGGGGCTCCCGTGGGAAACGCTCCGGGACGTGGGCAGGGGGTGTCCGGCGCCTCGGGCCGCCCTGCGCAGCGGGACGTTCCTCGGGCCGCTGCATCCTCAAAGCTTCCAGGAACTGGTCACGGCATCGCGGAAAGCAGGGATGTGTTTCCATGTGCAATCCGTGGGTCTCCAAAGAGACAGCTCCTAAGCGGCGCCCTCAGGTCCTCACAGGAGGCTCCTGCTTCCAGGCTGCTTTGGAGTTCCCTGACGGTTTGGACGGGATCTGCTCCTTCTGGCAAGGGGGTGTCCGGCCAACACCGCCCGGCCTTGATCCTGCTTCCCCTCGTCTCCCAGCGCCCGCCAGGTGCTCTTGGCGGAGGAAGTTTGGGAAAAGTGTCCTGGAATTGCAGGCAAACAGCCCATGGTGCTGAGCTGCTGGGGGCAACCTGGAGGAGACAGGCGGATGAGGAAGCATTGGTGCGAGTTTGCTGAGTGCCGCTTGCTGGAGGAGTTTGGTGAACGGATAGGAAACAAGATTTGACTCTCTTCTCTATCTGCAATCTGTTGGGTTTAGGAATATCAAATGCTTGTTGTTTGCTTTGTTTTTTTGTGTTTTTTTTTCATTTGGGTCGGTTACCATTGGGTTAAAGGGTGTGTCTAAACCTGAAAATATCAAATGCACATAAAAATATTAAAGTTTTAAGGCTGCAGTTGAAAGAGATCCAGGTTATCATTGCGTTACCTGTTACTTATGCCCTGTGACTGAACTGCTCTTGAATGAACCACTGCCAGCACATTCCCAATCAGCAAATCCATTGTGTGTGCTGAGTCTTGAAACTGTTTGCCCTAAAAATGGGCCTGGATGAGCGTTTAGGGAACAGAGTGACCCAGGTCTTGAACAAATACGTATCATATGGCAGCCCATCTGCTGTGTGGGCCAGGCTCCTGCTTCCCAAAATCAGTGTAGAGAGCCAGGCAGGAGCCCTACGGATAAAGGAGAGATTCTTTAAGATGTGGAGATTTTTTTTAATAGCATTTCTGAGTTATTTGTCTGCTAACTTCTCTAGTGGGCATATTAACCAATGAAAGCAGGAAAAGAATGTGGCTTTGCAATCCTTTCATCTCACCTGTCACTTGAGGTGTTTACACAGAAAGGAGCCTGCCCTGTCAGAAGCTGCATTTTTCACATACCTGCCCTGCAGCCATTCCTGATTAGGGAGCYAAATTTGACTGCACCAGGCTCAAGCCCAAGCTGCTAAACCTTTTTCCAGTGTTTTTCATTCCTTAAACTTAATCTCGTTGGACCTCCAAAAATATAAAGGAAGGTGAAAGCAACTAATGAAAGCAGAGCAGAATGAAAGTGCGCAGAGCTCTGCTTGTTCATGCATCCTCTCAGGAAACACACTTGGAAACACAATTCCGTAGCGATAGTGTTTGCTTACAGGCAACCAAAAATACATAAACGGATGAAACAGCCCTGTGGGCAGCTCTGTGCTTGGGCATAGCTCTGTGTTATTGAAGGTGCCGTGCTGACGTTTTGCACTGGTGCTTGTTCTCTGTTTCTCAGATCTGAGAAATTTACAACCCTCGGCCTCGCAGTATGTGCTTTATGTCATGAATAGTAACGCTGAAAGGTTTATCTGTAGATCAACATGTTATTGGGAACAGGTCTGCAGTTCTGCTTTGTATTTCTGTACAGTCAGATATTTCACAGATGTGCAGGTCATGCAGTGAGAGGTTCAAGCTCGTTCCTGGGTTTGCAGAGATAAGGTATGGGGATGTTTAGCTTGTCCCTTCATTTCCTTGGAGCTACAGACACTTGTGTCCTTGCAAAGAGGAACGTTCCTTGTCCAGCAGCGGGGACGGCTGCTGAGAAGGGACAGGGAAAGCAGCAGGAATTGTTAAGTCCCATGCACAGTTTCTGAACTCCGTTGCTTCTTGGAGGCAGCTCTTTTGTTGCTGTTGGGTATCTCAAGCTTAACCCCCTTGGTTGGCTCTGTTAAGCTAAATCAAATGACTGCTCTGCTGAATTGGGCAGGTTTAGGTAATGTTGCTTTGCCAAATTTTCATTATYGCGCAGCGTTGGGCGAGAGCCTTAGGCCTTGGCAGTCAGCAGAAATGGATGAATCCCCCGAATGAAGAATCCTTGAGTTATTCCCAAAGCTGTAGAAGTTAACYGGGATGTTAGCAGCTTGTACTGGAGCCGACCATGAGCTGAAGGCAGATACCCAGGACCGAAATTCCCTGTTTCCTGTGATAGGAGCCGAAAGTTGTGTGTCCGTCCTGGGACACCACTAACGCACAATGGGAAATTCCAGAGGCTTCCTGAGACTTGGCTGCAAAACCAGTTGTGAGGCTCCYGCTTCCTGTTCTGACCTTCCCGAGCCCTTTGCTGCCTTTCCCCTCTCCTTGCCCAGCATCCTGTTCAGTGTCCTGGCAATGCTTCTCCCCAGAGCGCTGCCCACGCATCTGTATTTTCAGCATTTTATTCCTTGTCAACAGTTGATTCTTCATTCCTGACATTTTCATGCTTTTTAATACTCTTTTAGCATGAGGAGGGAAAAACAGTCTTGCCTCTGGCTTGTCCAATTTTGTTATAAAACTCCCTTTAGTGTCTTTCTTTCTGAAAAATATTAGCGCCTTATTTACTGTGAGCTTTGTTTTCAGTAAATCCCCTAAAACTGATCCCTGTACTGTTAATTTGGATAAGTGAATCAATGCGACAGCACCAGCACTTCCATCTGCTGGGAAAAAGCTTACAATGTTAATGATCGAGGCAATACTCAGTTTGAGGAGGGAGGGGAAAGAATAGGTTTGGTTTTGAATTTAAAAGTGACTTCCATGGAGTTAAGTCTTTCCTGCTCTACCATGTGTGGGGGGTTTTTGTTTTTCTTCTTTTTTCCTGCTGAGAATGAAATGGAAGTAGCAGGTCACTATTATGTATTTTTTGTAGAACTGTTAGATACTGACTGGAGGGCCTGAGCAGATGGTGAGGACGGGATTTTGAAGGTGGCACTTCTGCTACTTTCAGATCATCTGGGGGGGGGGGAAAAAAAAAAAAACTCATGTAAAGATGGAAATGTAGAAAATAGAAATTCTGTATGTGATGCTRCTTCTTGTTTTGGTTAGGTTTTGTTTTAACCCCGGCAGCAGAACCCCCTTTGCTGCAGGTTGCAGGCAGATGCTCTGCGGGGGCTCCGTCCACGGGCCTTTCTGGGCACTCTGGTGAGACCATCACCCAGGGCCACGTGAGGGGAACCGCTCTGTAGCTGCCTGTAAGAATAAACAGGGGGAGGGGAAACAAAACGGAGGGATTGAGGAGAAAATACTGCATACAGGCAGCTTTTGTTTGCTAGGGAACTTGTGACCTGGTGTTATTCTGGCAGCCCCGGTGGAGCTGGCGCTTGTTGAGAACTGCTGCCCCTGGCAGATCTGCTCTAAAACAGCTTTGCTGGCAGAGCCGTGCGGTGCTACGGACGTGGGGGGCTGAACCCAGGCAAAACCTGCAGCCAGATCCCCTGCTCCCGCACGGCCTGTGCCCGGGGCAGCAGGAATGCTGCATCCCCTCTCCTGCTGCTCCTCCTTGGCTGGAGCCTTTGCTGGCGGGCTTAGCATCTCTCTATACCCTCATGTGTTGGATTTCCTAATGCTACATGGAAAGCTTTAAAAAAAAAAAAAAAAAAAAAAAATAGTGGTGCTCTGGCCTCTAATACCATATTTACTGCTGCTTTGTTGCCGTGACTAATAATTCATTTGTAGGAAGAACATTATATAACTTTTTTTATTCCGCCTTTGGAGGTGGAGACAATAATTAGAGTTACTAGACAGTGTTAGCAATCCCTGTGCTTGCCTCTACACAGAGGTTTCCTGATGTTACTGTGGAAGATTGCAGGGGGAAATACGAGTTACCTTCCTTCTGGAGAAGTATCACAGAATTCTGTGTGCATAAAATACATAAAATTCGGGAAGCTTTGGGGAAACTCTGGGTGTTTGGTAGGTGCTGGTGAGCATTTGTGGTGCTCTGCAGCGGGTTTGCAGCACTAGCTGCTTGGAGGAGCAGTTGCTGGGAACCTGCCATCTGTTGCAGCAGGTTGCCTTCCCAAAGCTGCTCTGTGCTGTGGCCAGGAGGCAAAAACCGAGGGCCTCTCGTGTCTTTTCAAACCTGGGAGAAAAGTCTGAGTCCTGGTGGAGGCTGTGACTGGGCGGGATGCAATGACCCGACTGCTGGTGCTCGAGGTGCCTCCTCTCRCCCTCGAAGCTCCACGCTGGAGCCATCTCATGAGCAGCACGATATATGTGAATATGCTGCGGATTTGGTGGCGTGGTCCTTTGAAGTGAAATAGAATAGCTGCTCCTTTGAAGTGAAATAAAATAGAGAATGAAGTTTTACTGCAGAAGGSAAACACAGTGAACAAGAAGAGAAATAAGTTTTGTTTGGCTGTGCAAAGTGTCAGTCCCTTTCTCCTTCTTTATGTTGTGCCCACAGGCACATGTGTCATCAAACTTTGCAGGCCTTCACCTGGTCAATTTTAACCATGCCATATGTGTGCAGCAGGATCCTTTGAGTAAGCCGGGCTGTAGATTTAAAAGTGTTTGCTATTCACTGAAGTGTTGATTCACTCTTCAACTTGCCACCCATATCCGTACCGAAGACTTCAGGAGGCGGCAGGTATTTCACGCTGCAGTAGCTGGAGGGTATGAACTCCGTGCCCCAGCCTCTGGTGATCTGACTTCAGCCGGTGGTGAAGCTACAGTGGCTCGTCTGCACTGTTATAACATGTTTTCTACTATTATTTTTATTGTGGTGGAAGCACGCCCTTTCTGTTAGCAAAGCAATAGCCCGTAGCAAAGAAATCCTGAGCCTGTTTACTCAGGCTGCATGGGTTGAGGCTGAGCAATTAGTGGTGCCTGTGCCACAGAAATGGGGCTGACACCTTCCTTCCAAGGAAGCAACTCCCTTTCCGCGTAACACCCTCCAGCAGCTCCCCCTTTCCCAGCACCCTGTTTTCCCATAAAAAGCAGCTGCAGCATTTCTTCTGATTCATGGAATTCCCGTAACGTTTGCTGCAGGCTGACAGCAGGRCGTCGAGGGCTCCTTGCAGAGCCCTTTCCTCGCTGCTGCTCTGCAGAAGGGTTTGAAGCCTGTGKTGGTGGCTGCAGGCTCTGCTTTTGCTCCGGTTGCCATAGGTACTGCGGCTGCTTCCCGATCCTCCGAGCAGAGCCAGGCCCTGTCGCTGGGTGCACCAGGGTCTTGCTCTTCTGTAACTGCTTATTTCGATAACTCGTTGGGCCTCTGCTGTGCAGGATGACATTAGAACTTGGAAGCATCTGAACTCGGTGGAAGGAGCCACCGTGGAGCTTAGTTTTACATAAGCTTGTGTAAAAAGCCTGGGTTGTTGCAATAGCCTTAAGGGCTTATAAGTAACACAGAAATATGTCCTGCCTGGAACCGAGGTTAAGCTAAATGGTTAGTGTAGTGCATATATGCATACCTGTATATTTTATTCGCTTATTCATATATATCATTATCATTTTTTTCATTTTATCTTCTGTCAGCCTGTCAGAAGTAACCGCACAATGGTGGGGTTGTGGACCCTGTAACAAAATACAATYGCAATATGCATCCGTTTTCTTTTAGATTTGCAAAACAGAATGGAGAGGAAGGGGGAAGCAGGAAGGAAATGTATAGGAGGCAAAGCTGAATGAGGCCTGTTGGTGCTGAGGAATCTCTGAATTTCCTTTCCTAGGAACTGAGTGGCAGCTGGCAAAAGATGAAGGATGTGACTTACTACCTTGTAACCCTTTCCTTGTTACAGGCTTCCTGTAATTAGATATTTGAAAGGGACTTGTAAATTATGGCCTCTTCTACCCAATTGGGTCCCTAAAAAGAACCTTAAACAAAACCTCAGGCTTTGTTTAAGGTTCTTTTTAGGGACCCAATCAAGTAAGTTAAGATTCTGGAAACCAGAAATCTTCAAAATTTAAAACCAAAGCATTGAGCCCTAGTCTAATGCTGAGCTGGAAAAGCTAGGCTAGATTTCAGTTTTTTTTTTTTTTTCCCCGTAAAACAAAGAAATTATGAAGCTTGGGCTCTTACAGTTCACTTAAATGTATAGTTATTTCTGCTAATATATTTGTATCTGTACTTGGAGCTGGATCATGCTTTAACTAAAGCTTCTTACTTTCCGTAGTATCAGCTACACGTCTGACCTTTTCTCGTGTGCCTTTTATTTTCCTTTCCAGCGCTAGAAAGGAAAAAAAGGAGGAGGAGTTTCTGGCTGGCTGTGCCTGGGTCAGATGCCTGTTTCCCCATGCCTGGGTTCAGCTGCAGCCCGCGCTGAGGGGCTGCACACGCGGCTGCTTTTTGAAGCACTGACTCGTTAAAATCGCCCGTCGCCGCTGCYGAGCGCGTAGCGTGAAACGAGGCTCTGTGAGCAGCCTGGCTCTCGCAAAGGTCGCTGTTCGCTGCCAGGGGAGGTTCTCGTGCAGGGCTGTGCAGCAGTGACACGGGCTCCCTTTCCGAAACAGCGTGAAAATGCGTTTGAGCTGTTTGTCACCAGGAGCTGTAAATGCTCTAAACCCACAGCCTTCCCCACTCCTGCACACACAGATCCAAATCCTCTCTGCTTGGGATCCAGTTGCTGTCACAATTTCTTGTGAGGTAGCCAAACAGTTTGATGTGGGGCTTCTGAAACGTTTCCTAGCAAAATTGGTTCTTGCTCCCTGAATTGCTGCAGGTGCCTTCATGTTTTTGTTTGCTTTGGTTGCATAACTCAGTGCTTTGTGGGGATCTAACACGCCATGAACAATAACACACTCCTTTTTATGGATATTGGTGCTTTTTCATCATTGTGCTCGTAGAAAATGCCTGRCGTGTGTGCTGTGCACTGTAATTGTTAGTGCTTAGCATGGGAATATAGTGAATATAAAAGTACTATTTTCTAGTAGCTCTGATTTTAAGTTGAATAGGGCTTATTTGTTTGTTCAAAAGCCCTTTTGCCAGTGTTTCTTATACAGCACGTAGTTTGCATAAGGGTGAGTGATTCATGTAGCATTACAGTTTCCTGGGCACTTCAGTTTTAACTGAACTGCAAATCTTGGTCTTTTCTTCGCGTATTCTCCAGTGGCACAACTTTATATCTTTTTTTTTTTTTTTCCTTTGGTGATTATATGGGGAAACTTTCAGTGGGAAGAAACTGAATATTAAAAGTTATAGGTTAGTACTGAGTATGTATATTTTTTCTTTTTTTTTTTCTTTTTTTGGTATAAGGAAGGAAATTGGCATCCTAATAACCTTTTCTGTGGTTGTGTGTGCCTCAGTGTCATGGTGGTTTAACTGCCTGGTGTCATCTCTATGGTGACACAATTAACTGCACGCAAGAAGCCGGGTGGACTTGGTGAAAACAAAACATTTACATTCTGCATTCAGATCCCTGTTAGAACTGAAGGTGCCCATCAGAGCACAAGAGAAGCAGGTACTGTCTGGGACAGAAGTGTGAGGGAATAGTTTGAAAACAGGATTCATACACTTCTTCCTCCCCCCATTCTTGAAAAGCACTTGTCTAACTGAAGATCTTACTAAAGACTTGTGTAAATAAACATTAAACATATGGTTTCTTTTACCAGTTTGCTAATAAAGTTAAAATTACTGATTTGTAATGATTTCTAATGCTGAGTTAGTCACCAATCATAACAATTGAGGCTGTAGCTCAACTTAAACTAACGCAGTTTGTTTTGCTTTCCTTTTTCCTGCCCTCAGGGGTGTCTCACCACTTCTTGCAGCATCACTGATCCACACTGCAGTTGATGAAGTTCTGCAAATAGACTTCACTGAATTTAAGAAGCCAAGTGCAGAAACAGAGGAGGAGGGAGATGAGGAAAGGTTCACCTGTAAGTATATTTTTTTTCTTTTCGTGGTTTTCTCAGAGGCTGTCTGGAAGATTTCTATGTTTTTTTTTTTTTTTTTTTTTTTTTTTTTTTGGCCTTAGAATTTTACTTTAGGTTGACTTGCAAGCTGTAGTGTACAGATCTTTATTTGCTCCTACTGTGTACCTATGGGATGAAAGGTAGTTATGCTGTTTTTCCTGGAAAAGGAAGAGAGTTTCTCTGCTCTCCACAAATGATTAATGACTGAGTGTGTGTCCACTTTTTGAACTGAAATGCTTAAGAAGCTATTTTTCATTGGAGGAATTCACTTAGATTGAACTGATTCAGCTCCTTTCTCAAGTTGATAAACTCTTCTACTTTTTGAAGTGTCTTCTCTTTGGTGAATTGGGTAATTACTCCTATGCTATAGTGTTGACTTCACCAGAATTGCAATTGTGGAGCCACAGGTAAACTTAAATTCACCTACATAACTCATCTTGTTTCTGGCTGTTCTGGGGAATCAGTTTTATAAGACCTGCTGCCAACCCAGAACTTGCAACTCCAAACCTTTCTTTTGACAAGCTTGTCAACAGCATCTGTCTTTACTGAGTCCTTTTACTCCTGTTCCTCCTACGCTGCCCCCCAATCCCTCTCCTAAAGAAATAGGATAAAGAGAGGTGTAAAACTTGAAGCATATATTTTTRTTCCTTGGAAATATATCTGCATTTTTTCCTATCTGCCTGAATTGGGGAGGAAATGGGCCTTAGTGAGTGAGTGCTGGGTTTGAGCTTGGCGTAACAGATGGTCTTATTGCATTTACATGCTGAAGTATTTAGCATTAGACTTCACCAAGCCTTGCCTCCCTACGCTAACCATGTAAGTAGAGCAAGAAGCAGCCAGAATGTGAAGATTAAAAAAATGGAGAAACGTCTGATGCAGCTTAGTCTGCCCTTCGATGGGAGACGGTCACCATTCCCGTCTCCCAGGACGGCCTAAAGGCAGTTTCCGTGTCCCTGTGGAAAGGGCTGTTCGTCTCCAAGCAGAGGGATGCTTCACTTTCCAGAAGCCCTTTCACTATTTACCTGCAAGTCTGAAACGGGGCAAGAGGGAAGACGTTTAATCAATCTTGCTGAATATTTATTCCCTTGCCTTAACGCTTGTAGTCTTAATGTGTCTGGAGGGATTTGTCACACTTCCAGCATGTTTTGGCAGGAAGCTGCCAAAAGAGGAGCCTGTGGCTAGACGGGCAGCAAGGAGGGGACACAGGCAGCAGTGCCAGGGCCTGGGTTTGAAGTGGGTTAATTTCAGAGGAAATTGGAGGAAATAGAGCTACTGATCCTCTGTAACTGGAGGCTCTATTTTATGGGCATGAGGCAACRTAAGGCTTTCCTTGACAACAGCAAYATATTATATTTCCATTTGCATAACTTATTTTTTAAGTTATATCTCACCTYGTCACATCTGCAATGTTATGCAAACCAGAAMGCGATTTTTTTGCATARTAAATAGTGACTGCTTATCAAAGCTTTGTGTTTAGATTTAAGTTTTCTTCGTTCTTCAGGCCCAAAGATGTATCTGAAGCTGGTGATCAAGTGCTGTTGAGACGGGGAAATGCTTGAGGAGCTGGAGTTATAAAGGAAATTCTGAAAAATTATTTAATGCTTGCAGTGTTAGCAGGAGTCAGGATAAATTAGAGGTGGTATAAGATAGAGGTTGGTAGAGTCAGGATAAAATACTTATTCACAGAGAGAGAGATCAGAAAACAGTTTGTGCCACTGTAGTTTTTAGGAAACACTTTAGTGTTTGACAAATCATTTTTTTCTGTATAGATGATCTTTTTGGTGCTTTCTGAAGTTAGTTTATTTAGCTTTGGGGCAGGGTTCTTACTCAAATAACATTTTAAATTATCACCCATTCTGAGGGAGGCTGCATTACCAAGCTAGACACAATCCCAACTGCTGTCACATCCAGTCTGATGAGCAATAACTTTAGATCAATTGATTTTTGGGAGCTATCCAGAAAAGGATTTGAGTGTCTGGCTGGAGCTTTTCACACTGTACTCAATGGGTGTTTGCAGCCCTGCTCTGGAATGACAAAGCAGGAGAGTGGCAGAGACGTTCTTCTGTGCGTCTGGCTTTTACAGCTCTGTGTGTTTAGAAAGATAAAGACAATAGCTTAAAATACTAATATTCTGTTCAGCTCAACCATGACTTGAGCTGTCAACCTCAATAAAATATACCCTCATGCTTTCTTGTTGCTTCAGTGCAAGTGGTACGGTAATGCAGAACCCTGACCCTAAGCCAAGCTAATACCTTTCTGTCCAAGACAACAGCAACTTTTAGCCAGTGTGAAGGTATTTTCTGATACTTGGTTATTTCTATGTTTTTGGTTCCACCTGGCCCTCTATATCCTATGCTTTTTACTTTTGTAATAATAAATTTTATATTAAATGTACCTGACCAGATGGGTTTTTGGACCTTGATGTGCTTGTATGCAACTACCAGCCATTTGATAAGCATTTATTTTTGAAAGAGAAGTGATAAATAAAACACAAGAAGCCCTTCTTTTCCTTAGTATTATACTGTTGTGTTTTAATGCCACTTTTTCCTCTGCATTGTTCTCAACCTGCACCCAAGAACAGGCAACCAAGTCTGTAGAGCCTGCGCCTGTGTATGTAGGAAAGAATTCCCATTCTTTAAGGAAAAAAAACCTTGAATAAAGGACAAATTAGATGTTAAGAGGGGAAAAATGGTGCTCACAGTTTCTTGTTTGTCTTTGTGCTGCCAGTGCTGGATGGAGACTCTTTGCAGCGCTGCTTCTTTAACAAGCTTCGGGATGTCTGCCTGAAGTGGCAGAAGCAGCTGCCACCACTGAGACCACAGAAGCGTTTCCTGCTCGTGTCCATCCATGCCATCCGGAACGCGCGACGGAAGATGGAGGATCGCCACGTTTTGCTCCCCGAGTTCAATCAGCTCTTTGGTTTATCAGTAAGTCTGGGCACATCTGGGAGGTTAATTTCTTAGGTTTTTCCACAGCTAAGAATTTGTTGCCAGAAGTGTTTAACACGTCTGTGCTGGAGCAAGGACTTGGCTCCTAACAAACTGAGTCAAACTACTGCCCTGGTGAAGAAGAATCTTGGGATGTTGGTCTTCATGTCAGAAGTGATGTAGTTCACTTAATGCTACGCTGCTGTAGTTATCTTGTGACTGAAGTAATGGATAAAAAAAAATGTGGAAAATAGCAGTTAAACCAGGAAAAGTACCAATTAATGAAGTTAGTAGTTTATCAGATATCTGCCACTTCAATTCCTTAATTCTTTTTTTTTTCCCTGAAAGATATTAAGTGGCTAACAGCAAAGATACATAATTCTACTGCAAATTATGCATTCTGCTCCTTTTGCACATAAACAAACTGAATTTAATTGCCATAACCAATGCAATGTCTTAGGGAAGAAAGACTAAAACAGAGGAGTCTTTGCTACCAAGAGGTATTTTATTTTTGACTTCTTGCATGTCTTCTTTCTCCCTCGCTACAAAAGGATGACGTTGATCGCGCTTACTTTGCCGTGTTTGATGGCCATGGTGGAGTGGATGCTGCCAATTATTCAGCAACCCATTTACATGTAAATGTTGGGCTACATGAAGAGATTGTTAAGAATCCAGCTGAGGCCTTGAAATGCTCTTTTCAGAAGACAGATGAAATGTTTCTTTTCAAAGCCAAAAGAGAGGTGAGTGGGTAGAGATGAATTCCATTATATTTAAAGGGTAGTGAGAACTGTTGGGCAAAATGCTATTATCTAGAAAACGTTGGCAGAGAGTCTTTTTTTGAATCTCTAATTTCTTTATGAAATTGTCTTGCATGAGAAAGCTTTCATTGATTTTTTTTTTCTTTTTTTTATTTTTGAGGGGAAGGAAAAACAAAACGACAGCGCTTACAAGTTCATGAAATGAATGTTTGAAATGAAGAGTGAAGTGGTTTTAAATGATCCCAACAATTCAGTTGTTTGAAAGAACATTTGTCCAAATTAGGCAGTTTCTAAATATTCTCTTGTCCCATCTCTAACCTGTAAAAGAGAATTCCCTTTTCTAAGTAATGTCATTGTAATCTTTTTTGTTTGTTTGTTTTTGTCCTGCTCATACTGTTAGGAGTGGTAGGAAGTTAAAATGTATTCACAACCATATCATAATTTAAATCATAGAATTTATTTACGCTTAACTCATGAGATAATTTAAATCAGAGTCTTCAGTTAATCAAACTTATTGATCATCTTTAACTCAATTGGTACAAGTCAAATGAACATTCTTTCTTCAAACCTTCGCAATGGAAGGATGATTTATTATAACACAAGAGCTCTTTATTATGCTCTTGTTATAGCAGTGACTGAATACAAATGTATTCACTGCTAATGTCTTCATTTCTGCCAATGAGGCAGAAGAAAAGGGTCAGTATCTCATTAGGTCTGACTCTTCTTAATCTTTATGAGGAATCGTTGACAATTTTATGCCTTCCTTTTACTCATCCTCATTTAAATGCCCAAAGATAAAGGGATGAATGTGGAGCAAGATGATTGCCTYTTCTTAATGGAAGAGATGAGAATGCTGAAGGAATTGAGGACACCAACAGTCATGTTTGTAATCCTGACRTTCAGATCCTCTTCCCTTTCTCTTTCTTTTGTATTTCCATCAATAAAGGTGGTCTTAGGTCAGTTTGGGAGTTAATAGCAGAGACAGGAGAACCTAATTAAGGCAATATCACCTATCCAGAGGTTAGAATATGTAAACAATTTATTTTTAATCTGTCTAATCACCTGTATTTGTTTTCAGGTACCTGAATTATAATTTTCAGGTATACYGTACTGCATTTAGGTTTGATTTCAATCTAAATTTATAATATTGCCATGTCACCTGCTTGTTGACTATTCACCTAACATGCTTGTTTGCTTCCACAGAGGCTGCGGAGTGGTACAACAGGTGTATCTGCCTTGATTGTAGGCAACAAGCTGCATATAGCCTGGCTTGGGGACTCGCAGGTAATGCTGGTGCGGCAGGGAAAGGCTGTGACCCTAATGGAACCTCACAAACCAGAGAGAGAAGTAAGTTGGACTCTTTTTCTGCTGAGGTGGAGGGTTTGTTGAAGTCTCTCTGCAAATTAAGGCTTGGGAAGCCTTTAGCTGTTTGAGTCTTGCACTCCTCAACGGTTACACTACAGAGAAAGCAAAAATTCTTCAGAATCTCGCGCAAAAGTCTTTGGAATCAAGGTTTTGTGAGTGTTTTGCACATAATTTTGTCTAGTTTGCAATTCAGAGAGTGACGACTTCTTTTTCCATCCACTCCTGTGTTGAAAAGGTGGTTCCGATCTCATGCCCCCTGAAAATACCGGTGTTATTGGCAGGCCTGACTTCAGTTCCCGCTCGGACTGTCTTTTCAAAACTGTTAGTAGTTTGCAGACTTTGAAATTTTATTTGTGAAATTTTAAGTGCTATTGTTATAAATGGGCTTCTTAATTTATGAGATTAATATCTACTTAAAAGGTTTGTGAAATCTGGGTCTTTCACATTATGCTATAACATCATTTAAAAGCTAGTTTTAATCTATTAGCATAACTGCCTTAAAGTATCTTGCCTTTCTTACATTTTTTTAAAAAGGTAGGTGTTCTATTACGTGGAATAAAGTGGGGATCCAACAATTTTCAGTAGCTTCCGTTTGCCTCAATGGCATGAATAACTAAAGTAATTAAAGGAGTGTCATTGCAAATACTCCGTTTTAGTGTTATGTAGTTTAGCTGTCCTGTCTCTTACTCCAAATATTTATATATTTACCCAAGTGCTATATGGAGTGGGAAAAAGTGGCAGGAGAAGCACTTGTGGAGATGGAAATGAACCTTTTGATCAGGAAGTTAAGAATTCTGCTGTCTTTATGGACAAGCTGTGATACAGCTGTGAAGTAGGTGCATTGCTCCCAATATTCTTAGGAAATGGCCATTTCTGATAGGGAATCTCATACATGTTTGTGGTTGTGGTATTTGTCCTATAAAAGCAGAAGTGAAACTGCATGGTTTTGAGTTTTGTCATCTTTTCCCCCTCAACTGGGTAAAAACAAGGTCAGTAAGTCAGGGGTTGGGTTGTGTCATTAAAAACTCAATTCTGCTCCATTTTAGGATGAGAAAGCCCGAATTGAGGCGCTGGGTGGCTGTGTGACCTACATGGACTGCTGGCGGGTTAATGGTACCTTGGCTGTTTCCAGAGCAATTGGTAAGCTGAACCATACAGGGCAGATTTAATTTGATTAAAACTCACAGCCTGAGACTTTTTTTTAAACTGTAAATGACATTTTGTTCTGTGTGGACCAAGTAGCAAACCACTTATTTCTTRTTCTCTTTGCCATAAGGCTAGCTGACAACTGCATTGTTTTTACATAGCTTTTACGTAATCTAATTACTTTAATATTGTTTTATTTTTACCAGTTTATTTTTATTATAACCAGGAGTCCTAATTGTTTTATTCTTCTAAGTCTGTTGCTTCTCATAAATGAGAAATCAGATTGCAGTATCYTCCTTCAAATTACACAAATCCGGTGAAGTTGGTTGTAGTACTTCTCTTTTGGAAAGAGTTTGCTTTGCTACTTGTCAATTAGGGCAAAAAGAGAAAAGACTCTGAGCAAAATCTGTAATGTGTGAACAGAATATGCTTGCTTAAATCTATATAATACCATTTTTGGATTTTGGAGTGTGGTTTTGAGGTATCCTTATGAAACTGAATTAAATATGTGAGCAGATTCTTACAGCATTATGCTGTGTAWCAGGACAGATAAGAAAAAAATCTTCTTTTCATAGCATTTTGAAGGCTGTATAAGAGGCATGCTTGYCAATGAAGGCTTGCATATCTCCTTTACAGATGTATTTCAGGGGAAAAAAATGGAAAAAAAAATCCTCAATCTCCCTGCAAAGATAGAAAAGCACAAGCTCCTTACAAACCCACTCAATTTTGGTACCTCATAAGAATTCTCAAAGTAACAAAGGTTTTCCAAGTTTATCTTGCAGCTTTAAAATGCTCTGGAATATGATCTGGATGTTCTGGATGACAATAAAAGCAATTGGATGTTAAAGAGGTAATTGCCCATGTTTGAAGCAATAAAGCTGATTGTTTATTCTGGTTGTTTTAGGGGACCTGTATCAGAAACCCTACGTCTCCGGTGATGCTGATGGAGATTCATTTGAGCTGAGTGGATCTGAAGATTACTTGCTCCTCGCCTGCGATGGATTCTTTGATGCCATCAAGCCCTATGAGGTTGTAGACTTGGTCCTAGATCATTTAATGCAAACCAACGGAGTGGGTGTCAAGGCAGCAGAAAGACTAGTGGCTGCTGCCAAGGAAAATGGCTCCAGTGACAACATCACTGTTCTAGTGGTGTTCCTGAGGGACCCTCAGCACATCTTGGCAGACTGTTTCAGAGACCCTAAGAGCCTTGGGGCTGGTGAGGACACTCGAAGCTCAGCCTTTAACTTCCTCGGCTGTGAGGCAGCAGCTGCACAGTGACAGAATCTGTTTAATGCAGAACATTGAAATAAGTTAACTTAAGGAATTGCTTTCCACTGAAGAAGCCTTTAATATAATAGGCAAAACATAATGACAAACGGAGAAACATTTAGCCAAAAAAAAAAAAAAAAAAAATCCCACTTGTCTTTTATCTCCTCCCTTCAAAAACTGCTGAGCAGGCTTGGAGATTTGTGCTAAAGTGGGTCCTAGGGCTGCTGGTCTTACCTTCTGCCCTGGAAGTGGTAAGAAACTGTAATACGTATAAGCTAACAGTGAGAATGCTAGTTTGTGAGTTCTGAGTGAAACTTAAATTAGCGCTTATAAAGGAAGCTGTATGTTATTTTTAATTTTGATGTTACTTTGGGGATTGGGAGGAGAGAAGCAGTGCCATCAGAGAGAGGCTTGTTACTGTGTGTGGCCTGTAGGAACAGGCTTGGTGTGCCAGAGAACTGGGTGAGCAGAAGTAGCGGCCCGTGTGTTGTGTTAATTACTTTTGTTTTATACCAAAGATGATATTAAGAGAATGTTGTGACCACTTTCTTTGAAGAGGTTGAATTTTGTGTGTATGAGGAAGGGAAAATGAAGCCGAATGCTCCAGAAAGAGCAAGAAAGCTCTCCAGAAATATCCGCAGCAAATATAATACAGAAACATCTGCTCTCTGGGATGCTCTAGGTTATAAACTGGAATACAATATTTAACTGCACTGGATTGTTTTTCCCCAGCAAACTTGCTTTCTTGGCTCTCTAGCAAGCTGGAAAGAAAGGATGCTTATTGATATGTTTGAAAGAGGTCCTTTACAGGATGTGTATGTTCTGCCAGTGATATATATTCTGATTCTGCCATATTTTTTGTACTATAACAAGTGAATATTTTATTTTTATTTTAAGGGTTTATGTGTTTATTTACTGAACTTTACAGTTGGAAGATTTTTTGCAGTGTTACTTTATTTTGTTGTTGGATTTCTTTTTTTAATTTAAATTAGATTTTTTTTAAAGTGGCTATGTCTTTATTATCTGGTTTTAAAAACTGACTACCCTCAAGTGCCTTAAATATTTCACCCCCAGGATAGAGATTGCTGGCTTCCTATCATATTCCAGTSAGCCACTATATAATGTTTCTAAAATGTGATTTTTTTTTTTTAATTTCACTGATATTAATGTTTAATGCACTTAACGCTTTGATTTTTGTGAATGATTTGGTGGGAACTGGATTTCAGGAAAACATCTCATTCAGTGCTGCCAAATCCTGTGGCTCATGGTAAAAGCTTCACAATTCTTACTGTGATTTATTTCCCTACCACCCCCTTCAAAAATCTCTAGATAGTTAATCATAAAGTAACCAGCTGATTCGTGATGACTTTGATTTAAAATCAATTATTCTTCTGACCTTCACAAGAAAATTTAATAACACAAACTAAAGCTGTCTAGTAATAGAATTTTTTCATTACTTACTTGATTTCTATTAATTTCTATTACTTGATCTTAATAGATTAAGCATCTCAAGTGAAAAACTTTAATAGATGCTAGCCATTTGCCATCAACTTTTAGGGCCCGGAAAACTTTTGAAGGAGATGTGAAGCTAAGGAAAGGGTGAAAGAAGTTTATGAACCTGTGTGGAATTGTGCAAAGGTTGGATCTGTTACCTGTGTGAGCTGCAGGTGGTTTTGTCCTGCCTCGCTGCCTGTCCAGCAGGAATCACAGCAATATCTCGGTGTGAAGGTATCAGCAATTTCTGCCCCTGAGCAGCCAGCGCTTTGCCTCTGGTAGCAAGATTGTATGGAGAAGCCCAGCATTGCAGTATGTCACTCCTGTCCGTTAAAATGTGTTGGARATTCACATTGTTCAGGAAGGAGTCTAGGTGGAAGAGATGAGAGGCAGAATGCAGCGGGGCTGTTCGTGTCCACGTGGTCTMGGAGGCATCAGCAAGTGTGGGGTGATGCAGCTACCCGAGGGACCTGAGCCCCTTGCCTCGGTGTTGGGGTGGCAGGGCAGTAACTGCAGCGTTCAGCCAGCTGCCACCTCACTGCATAGCACCTGGAGCACAGACTGCCTTGTTTTGCTGCAGAAATACAGAGGTTTTCCATTGGGAACCACTTTTTTTCACAGTATCTTTTGTGGGGAAATCTGGGACTCCAGCCTGGGGGTAGACATTAAATTTTTGTACTGAATCTACCTGAGCTAAGGAAGTCTTCAGGCTGGCCTAGCGATCCCCGTGGGCCTCCTGCCTCACCTCCCTGTGGTTTCTAACTCAGATCCTCGGYGTCACGCCGAATTGCGATGACCACTAGTGCCTTTTGGGGGCCTGGAAATGGAGGTCTCGTCGCTGCGATGGTAAAGCTCACACAGACTTGTCTGACTGCTGCCATGGACTTTATTATTATCAGGGAGCGAGAGAGAAGCTGCTGTATTCATGAAAAGAGCTATGAAATGTTGGTAAGCTCATAGCATGGTCTGGTTTCTGACATTTTGGCAATTTTCTGAAATGTGGAYGGAACCAAAGAGGCCAAGTTCTCTGCAAGGATCCTTTTATTTCAGCCTTTTTAAGGCAGATGGTAAAAATCCAAGTCTTATAATGTCTACTTACAGCTATGTGAGAATATCTCAACTTTTAGATTAATAAGATGGAGGGAGAGCTGTATGTGAAATGTGTACTTAAAAAGCTGTCTGTGGTAATCAAAAACATAAATAGTTCTTGATCTGTGCTTTATAGAAGAAATTCTGCATTTTGAGAATCTGTTCCTTTATAGAGATGTTTTCATTCCAATGATTTGGTGCCTCCTTTCTGAGATCTAAAGAAGTAGTTCCTAGGAACTAATGGAGAKTTTGTGAGAGGAGAGAAAGTGTTTTTTTTAATTTTCAGAAGATTCCTTTTACCTTTAAAAATACCAACCAGGTCTGTAGGAGGTTTAACACGGTCAAAAAATGGCACTTTTTGTATCCTGTCTGGACTAAATAAGACATAATAGATCCTCTAGAGTATAACTTGATTTCACATGCTATTTGGGAGGGGAAATTGGTTTGGGGCATGAGTGACCTGTTCTTGACAGTAGGAAAAACTATGCTTTTTTAATTGAAAAGGAATCAACATGATACAAATCAGTACTGTGGGTATACCAAAGGATGCAACTATGGATTTTGGAAGACAGTGTTTAAAGTTCTACTGAAAAAATGGTCATAAAAGTGGTCTGATCCTTGAGATAGCATAAGGACCTCAATTTTTCTTTCACTTAGGACTTTGATACCACTTTTGGAAGTGAGCAGCTATAATGTGAGATGCTGTTACAGCAGTGGTCTCCAGTGCGGGTGGAGGGAGAGAAACAGGAGCTCTGGCAGATTGCAAAGTTGAAGGAAATTGTCCAAAAGCTGGAAAGGTGCTATGTTTGCTAATAATTTGCACTAATTTGCTGCATTACATTAGTCTTTCCTGTTTTTCTCCACCAAAATMCTTGGATTTCAAGTGTGGTGTCTTCTGTTTTGCTTTTTATTTTTTCTCCTTTTGTCTCCATTTCAGCACTTTGCAACTAGTATGTAATTTTGGTGACAGAATGGTTCCACATCTCAAYGCCTTTCAGGTGTCATTGAAAACATTGATGCTTATTAGCCAGTGTAATGAGCATTAATGTTTATTAACCAAGGTAAGCCAAAGACTTTGTTGGCTYATTCCCCTTCTGTACTTTGAGCTTGCAACGAAAACAATTCTTGAGTCTCGCCAAAATCTTTGAGACCATAAAAGCAATGTGAAAGGTGAAGACAAATGGTCAATGAAAAATAAAAGTAATTTCAGATTTTTATTAGACTTAAATGGATGGCCATCCCTGCAGTTTGGCATCTTGTTTCAGGAAAACTGCTCATTAAAGGAGCTTGCATTTGATGTGTCCTGCTTTGGAATTCTTGCTTGAAAGTTGTTTTTGTCATATGACTTAGCAGATGTAAAATAAACTATCACCCTTTGGTAGGGATACTTCATTCTTCTACCTTTTGCTTCCCTACTTCTCACTCTCCTATAAAGAAATACACCTAAAACAGCCAAGTCTTTTGGGTCTAACAGAGAAGGATTAAAAATTTACAAATTATATGAGTTTTCTTGTTGCTGAGGATAATTTATGGAGGAGAGAAAGGCAGGAAAGATTTTAGAAAGAGGAAAAATAAGTGAAATCCACCCTCTAAGTGATGGAGGAGTGAAAGCGAGAGGTAGGAATGCATTTAAGTATTATTAATGCCTATTTTAAAAGGGAAGTGGGCTGGAAAATAGAGCTACAGATGTCAGTTCCTTAGAGTGAAATACTGAAAGAATTAGAAACACACCCATTAAAAGCAAAACTCTGACGTGGAAACTCGGTCTTCAAGCAGCTGGGGATGGAATCAAAATACCCCTGCACCCCAGGTGACTTTCTGCAACTCCCGTGTCCTGAATGTCAGTGCTCCTAAATGGACTTGTCTGAGCATGGGATGTGCAAGGTAGTGCTGAGAAGCAGCCTGCAGCAGAGGCAGTTCTTGGTCACTGCAACTGCTGCCGTGAGTCAATGGTGTGAAGTGTCTTAATGAATGGATGCTGCGATCCCGGGATGAGTAATTGGGTGCAGAGCGGAGCTGGCAGCTGAACGGTGTTGATGACTTTAATAGCATTTAATAGACACTTATCTGAATTCAAAGTCAGATGAGATATTGCTCTTTTTTAAAAGCATTTCCAGCGCTATTAGCTTTCTGTCATGACGAGCCACTAAAATTTCCAGGGTGTGTGCATGGTTTTTCTTTTATTTTTTTGAGGGGGGTGGGATGGGATGGAGTTTTGGCTGTTTGGAAAAGTTCTTGCTTTTGCTTTCTGAATTCCTCTAAGTGCATAAGTTGTCTGCATTAGAAAACCCATTTTCAGCTGATAGTTTCAGGGAAAACAGCTTTCTTAGGGGGCTGAAAATTGCTTCCAGGAATCCTTTAAAAACAAACAAAGGTGCTTCCAAATGAGGTGCCTGTAAAAGCAGTATTTCTAAACGGTGCTGCCCAAAAGGCATTCGCTTTTGAGGAACCAACAAATGCTGCCAATATGTAAAGCAGTCAGTGGAGTGGCTCAGGATTCTTAAACTTTAAATCAAGCCTGCAACTCTGCTGTGGTAGGCGAGGTTTTGTTGGTGAGGTGATTGATTCTTGTGGATGCTGATACTTAATGCACAGCACAAGACATGATGTGTGAGTCTCCTTATAGTGCTCAAGTATCGAGCAAATACTTTAGGGAAAAGGCGGGGGGATGTTAGCCACAACACAGCACATTGCAGATGATTCATGTGTAATTTAGCTCCAGTTAAGCCTGAATTAAATTTCCCTTCTTAGTTCTGTTGCTGCCTAGCTTTCCCTTACCAAATYGGGCCCCTCTTCAGAAGCAAACAAGTTTTGATGGACAAAATGCCTTTCAGGAATGGGGGGGACGGGGAGAAAAATGAGTTTTCAAATGACTGCAAAACTTCCCAATCTGTGCTAAGCAATGTATTCTTGCAAAACATATTTTTATAGCGTATCTGTTACTATTTCAATGATTATGCTAAGGGTGATTGTTTTTCTGCCAAACTAGGCCTAACCTTTAAAAGTGCCAGCACAGAAAACACGAGCAGAGCCCTCCCTGCTTTCTGAACCTAGCCGCTCCCAGGCAGCCTTGCTGGGGTTTGTAGTGTAGGCAGCCCTAAGGGCTCAGCCAGCCGCTTCCCACGTGTGTTTTGGTTGGTTTTTAAAAATATTTGTTGGATTCTACTATAGCTAAAGCTATTGCTAATGACTTCAGTCATGTCATTGGAAAAGCATTCAGAGAGAGACATGAGGGAGTGGAGCTGAGCAGGGAGCTGTCAGATGCCTCTTAAAACACTGCTTAGAGGGAGCTGATAGGCCTTAGATCTCAACCCAACCRAATGGGAGACCAAGAGCTAAAGGGGAATCGTTTAAATCTTTCCCKTGCTGCGACCCAGCAGCACCTGCCAGGGCCCAGGGCCTCCTCGGAGCCGTTTCGTGTCGCCGGTGCCACGCATGGGCTTGCCAAGCTGTGCTGCACACACAAATAAGCCAAAAGCAGCTGTGTTGGCCGCCTTGGGAGCATGGCAAGATGCAGCTTTCGTCAAACAGACGAGGGTGAAGATCAATAGGGAAAGACATGTTTTCAAGTGKCTTGGAATGCAAACAATGGGATGGAAATGCAACCTCGGAGAGCTGACAGTGCACTGTCATCCTAAAACCACTGTTTTAAGAGAATTAATCTGTCTTCTTTGTAACATCTGCTCCGCTTTGCTAACAAGCTCCTTTCAACCAAGGTTTTGTGACTTTTTTTTTTCCCTAATGTACCCTTTTTAGTCTAGAGAAAGTATATTTAACTTTGAAGAGCTGAATGTACCTGGGTTTTGTGACTATCCTATTTAGATCACGATTATTGAATTTTCTCTCAACTATTAAGCTTGATTACTAATCCCCGGGAGATGTTGAGATAGCAGGTCCTGACCTTATTAATGATTAAACGGCCCTGGATTGCCACGCACAAGAACAGGAGTCTGGGCTGCTCCAGTGGGTCCCTTTACCTGCTTTGCTGCCATGTGGACGGCAGGGAAACCTTTGTCGCTGTGGTAAATGGAGCAGGGCTGTGTGACCTCTGCTGCCTGCAGAAGGGATTTTTGCTTTCACCTAAAGAACRATGGGTCCCTTTGGGCATCTACGGATAGGGATAAAAGCTGGGAAACTAGAGGGATCTTTTGGGGCCTTCTTGGGGCAATTAGATATTCCCTCTGGTATTGCCATTTCCCAACTCTCTTAAAAAGCATTCTGCTTAAAAAGGATGAGATGCGCTGACCTGTTGACATTTTTTTTCTTTTTTAGCTTTGTGGGTTTGAAAAAGTTCGTATTTTTCATAATAGCCAGATATTTACTTTGTTGAGGGTTAAAACATTATTTCCTYTTCTGAAAATCAGACCTGCTCTAACTCCTTATTTTCTTCCTAGTCTTTTTCTTCTACCTTGTGTATGCCAGCCAAAATAAAAATGCTGTTTCATAGACATTCAACTCAGTTGGCTGTTAAGTCACTGCAGTTGCCTTTCTGTAATTTCTATCTTGTCTGAGTTTGGGGTGTGACCTGATTCAGGAGATCTGCAGCTCCAACAGTGCAGAAAGCACCACATGAGCTAGGAAGATGCAAGACTCTTTAACTGGTGTCTTTCTGACACTGAGCAGTATTGGATGTACAGGAAGAAAATCCTGTTCTTGCGTGTTATTGCATAGGAATACTTAGGCTTGCTCCAGGAAACAAGAGTTCCCTTATCCKGACTACAGGATCTGAGAAATGTTCTTGTCCCTATATCCTTTTGTTCCAGCAGAATTGTTTTTAATCATTTGCAGTGCCTAGGGGAAGAAGAAAAATGAAATAAAGAAACCTTTCCAGCTTCCTTTACCCCTCAGTTCTCCTTTTCTGCCCCGCTGCCCCAACAGGCAGGTTGGTGACAGCAGCTACCTGGCTGACCCCCCTGCAGCTAGTGCAACTCTGCAGTGTCTGGTCTCTATGAGAACTTCARTCCTGTGCTTAGTGGTAAATTAGACCTCTGTAACTACTCCTGCTGACTTAAAGATATGTGTTCTTATCAGTATTAAAATAGTCCAAGAGCAGAACTGTTGCTTTAGGCACATTTCTTGCCGCTGCGTTGGCTAACGAGCCTTGAATGAAAGCAAGAGGGCCAGTGACTTTGCAATAGGAGCTGTTAGCCAAGCGTCCTTATTTATTTTGTWTGTTAATCTGCACTTGCGACCTTGAGCAGAAAAGCTGTGTTGCAGCAGGTTTTGTAAGCTGTGGCTTAACCAGTTATCTAGTTCCKTAAAACTCTTTCTTATTCAAGCTGACTGGTTTTTAGTGCCCAAGTCAAAAACCTGTTGTTAGCAATGATTACCTGCTATGCATATTGTATGTTTATGTGGATTGTTCTAATAATGCTTGTGTGTATTTTGCCACATTACTGTATTTTATATATATATATATTTATGTGTATAAATATATATATGTATTGCATGAGGTTTAATTGTTGAATTTTTTTTGTAYGGTCACTTTTGTATTCACACAGTGCCTCATGTATCTATTTGCATATTGCAAGAAATGTTTAAAGCAATGATTGGAAACAAGTGGGGATAAGAGCTCTCCAATGTAGGATCTGATGTTTTTTTGAAGTATTAATAAAGCATAGTGATTTGGAGCATTGTTTGCTGCTTTTCTTAAATGTGTATTTCATTTTTGCCCTTCAAGTAGCTGAAGCCTTTGGTCTATTGCTGACATCTTTGTGGGGTTACCATGTCCTACTGGTGAGTGTCACAAAATCTTGCTTTCTTCCATAAGACCCTTCTAGAAAAAGAGGTAATGTTTTGAAAAATCCTTCCGTTTCCTAGTCTGTTTCAAAAAAGTAATAATTCCCCAAAGGGGAAAATGCACTTGTATTAATCTCTCGGAAACCAGCAATTTTTTAAAAAAAAGGTGTAGGTTCTGCATTTGCTTGACTGCCTTTAGCAGCAGTTTCCTAATCTGTAATTTATTTAGCTCCCCAGGGAGCAGAAGCAACAGTGACCTGCTGTTACTGCTGCTGCYTTATGAGCAGCCACTGGAATCCATCATCCAGGTAAGGCCGAGGGCCGCAGGCAGGGAAACACCCTGGAGCCGAGCAGAGCCGCTCCGGGATGTTATGGGCATCCTCAGCACTCCGACAGACACGTCTCCTTCCTACCGACAGGAACTGGTGGGGTGAAATCTGCTGCCACTTGTGCAGGTCGCAGCGCGGTCGCTGATGCAGATGCTGCTGCTCGAACCGTTTAGGCTCTTACAGACAAACCAGGGCTGCTAAATCCCGCACAGCCGCTTGGCTGAGGCTGACTGGTGGCTGCTGGTTTCATCCAGACCCTCTGGGAAACTGTCCCGGGGGTGGCGGAGCAGGAATTAGTTCTGCAGCTCTGGCAGCTCAATCTGGAAATGCCTGTAATGCCCGTCCCCTGCAGCGCAAGGGGCAAGGCCAGATAAAACACAATCTGCATCTAGAATAAGACTGCAGTTGCAGGGACCTGGGCAGGTTGCAGGTCTTCGTGTCACTGTCCGGTTTTTATTTTGTTAAGGTCAACCTCTTGTTTTTTGATGTGATATGTTGATCTTGACCTTTTCTGTTTTGGGTATCTTGCAAAACTTCTGGTTAGGGTATTTACAAAACATTACCTGCATTCTGCCTGGTGCTTAGTATTTGCTACATACTGGCTTTTTTGTTTGTTTTTTGAACTACAGCTGCAATGCTTTGAGGCTTGGCTTTGCCACGCTCCCATGTTGCTCCCTGGAGCTGTTTATACGCCACCTTGCTTTATGTCAYTTCATTCTGTGCTGCTTTACTCGCCACCACCCCACAATTATCCCCCGTTTTCCCCGTGTTACTCCATGCTACTTCACGCCACTCCGCTGTGCTCCACCTCGCTCCATGCGGCTCTGTGGCACTTCTTGTCACTCCGCTATGCTCCACGCTGCTCCACTTTGCTCTGCTCTGCTGCACTCTATGCTGTTACGGTGCTTCACAACACCTCGCTTTATTCTGTGTGATTCCATGGTGCTCTGCTCCACTCCGTGTTTCTCCAGACGTCCCCAGGGAGACCAGTCTCTCCAGTGCAGCGTTCTCTGCATGAGAGGCCCCCCTCCACCTGACTGAGTCGTGCAACTCATCCATGGGAAAGGGGCTTCAGTGTCATCTCAGATGCTACCAGGCTGCCTTCCTGCCTGGGTCAGGCCATCCCTAGAGGATGGAGAAGGAGGGAAAGCAGGGAGAGAAGGATGCAGGAGACAGATGAGTTCAGGATGGTGGAATAGGAGGATGCATGAGGGAGATGGATGCAGGAGAAGGAAGATGAAGGATCCCTGCAGTTCTGCCTCCTCCCTAGGGCCACTGCAGTGCACGGAGGCCTCAGCTTCTCCAAAGGCAGCGAGGTCTCCTGGGCACAGTGCCGTCCTGGGGAAACAGGACCRTGCTCTCTGCTGTCCTGCCTGTGTGCTGGCTGGCAGGGAACCTGCCCYGTGTAGGTTTACACCAGCACTTTACTCTGCTTTATAGTTGTGGTATTTCTTTCCCTCCCTCAAACCAGAGTTTCTAAGTTTTTATTTTGCATGTGCATACTTGATCTATTCAATTTCTAGCTTTTCYGCAAAGCTGTGATGAAGAATTGCTGTGTGATGGTGTGCAGAGGTAAGTCCATTAACTTCAGACTGGAAGACTGGATCCTTTATGAAACCAAGTTCCAGCACTATCTTAACAACAGCTCAGGAGACACTTTGAGCTTTCTGTATGCTTAATTATAGGCATTTAAAATCTTATGCAAAGTCTATGCTTGAAGGAGTGCTAAGCTGTAATTAAGGCAGGCTGCTAATGATGGATCTAATTGCGGGGTTGCATCCAKGCTCGGGTATCGCGAGCGGGGCCTTTGACAGGGCAGCCCTGCAGCCTCTGCATGCAGCTAACGCCCCGCGGCTGCTCCCCACTGCAGGAYCTGACAGGACCCAGGAGGAGTCAACACTCAAGGGACTTGAGATAGGAAGAGCTGGGGCCTCCGAGCAGCTCTGCCCACCCTGCTCTTTATCCTGCACGGTCTCGAACCTTTCCTAAGGAATAAACCTGCAGCTGAGCAAAGGCCACGCTGGGCCCTGTGGGCAGGCTCGGTGGTGTTGGTGAGGCTGCTTTTAAAACATCTCCCTCCAATAACTCTTCAACTGCTTCTTGTTAGCAACATCAGATAGTTACTGGAGAGCTGAAGTGGGGTGGCCTGTGTTGGGGGAATGGTGAGAAGAGAGTAACTCTGCTGAAGTAAGTGCCAGATCCTGGCACTGACCTGAGGGGGGAATGTGAAGAGCGAGCAGCCAACCTCTTCTYGGTGGTGGCCAGTGACAGGACAAGGGGTAATTGGTATAAATTGAAATACAGGCAGTTCCACCTCCATGTGAGGAAGAACTTATTCCCTGTGAGGGTGACAGAGCCCTGGAACAGGCTGCACAGGAAGGTTGTGGAGGCTCCTTCTYTGAAGCTCTTCAGAACCYGCTGGGATGCCACCCTGCTGGAGCAGGGGGTTGCACTAGATGATCCCTAGAGGTCCCTTCCAACCTCAAYTATTCTGTGATTAAGGTTATATTTAAGCACAGTGTTTGGAGAACATAGCAGTTAAACCACTGAAATGACATTCCTGCTCTGCAGTGCAGTAAATTGTACAGTAATCTGGRATTATGAAAAAAGCATTTTACATGCTTTTTTGTTGGACCAGTATTAAAACTTCTGAAAAATAGTTTTATCTGGATTTTTTTTCATTGTGTTCTTCCCAGTCATGGTTTGGGTTTGTTTGCTTTCTAAGGCAAAGGAGTCGCTCAGTGGTATCCTCAATTTTACCCTTTTTGTAGCTGGTGGCGCTTTTGTGGTGTTGTTTTGTTCAGTTTTGTGATAATGCTAAAAAGGATTAGGTGATCTGGCTGGTCTGTGCAGGATGAGGAAGACCGTGTGGACTCAGGCCTTACTCTAAGGAAAATATCCTGAACTATTTCAGTCTTTCTTTAATATAAACATTAGTGCAACTGTCCCTCTCTCCTCCCTTACTAATAAGGGAGGAGGGCAAAGGCCTGTCCCTCCCCCAGCCGAAATCTATGAAATCTATCTTCTAATCTTTTCTTGTTAATGACGTTTTAAGCCTCAGAGCAGTTTCCAGCTAGCAGGAGGCCGCGCCAGGCTGTGCATTAGCAGCTAATGGCAGGCGCTGCAGGCAGCGTCCCGGGGCGTTCCCGGGAGCATTGGCAGCGGCCGGAGCGCTCCTGGTCCTGCCCTTGTCCCCCTGGGAGGCTGCTCCGGCTCTGAGAGCTCTCCCCGCCAGGAAGCCTTTCCTGCTCGCCAGCCTGGCTGAGCCCTGCCTGTTTTTAACTAAAAACCAAGCAACAGCAGCAGAAGTGAACAAAGAAAGGCGAAATGACATCATATCTGCATCATGTCAAAGACRGAAGCTGAGCTGCTTTTCAGTTTCTACTTCAAACCTTGGAGAAATTCAGGTTTCAGCTAAATGCTGCCTGGTTATCGCTGAGGTTGATGGCAGCAGGACCTGGGAGGTGGTGCACGTGAATCCGCTCATGAAGGAAACCCCTGGGCGCAGGAATCTGCCCGCGACGTGGGCATGAGCCGGCCGCGAGCCGCAGCGGAGCCTCCCTGTCTCCAGCCGGAGCTTCCCGGCCTCCAGAGAGGCCGCGGGGCCGCAGGGAGCGGATCCGGGGAGCCCGGGAGGGCGCCCGCGGGAAGCGGTGCCGCGGGGATGTCACAAGGAGCTGCTGCTGCTGGGCCGCTCGGATGTGTCCGCGCGGCTGGGGGGCTGCCCGTGGCGTTTGCCTTCAGCTTCATTTCTTTTTGCCTGTTCTTAATTCTCRTGGCGAATGCCAATGCTCTGAGTTACATGGAGCCTTCCTGCCTGCCTTTAAGATTCCTTCCAGCTTCCCCTCGGTGCTGGGGGCTGTCGCCTGCCCTGCTTCCCCYGGGCACTTTCTGCACACACGGAGCTCCCGCTGCTCCTTCGCTGGCAGTTGCGGCAGGCGAGTGCCCCCATCCATATTAAATTACATGGTACCCTCGTGTCCTGCTTTCTCACCTGCTCCATAGTGTCCCAGCTACCTCTGAAATACATTCTTGTGCATTTGAAATGTGGTGTGAGGGCACAGCTGGCGCTGATGSTGCT